GGAGGGACAGGCCGTAACACGGCACGGCCACCGCCGGGCACTTCCACCAGCTGCGCTACGCTGCTGAAAGAAAACATTGCTGCACATGAGCATCTGCAGGAGGGGTGTAAGCAAGCTGCTTCTCCCTGCTGGGATGGCCAAATCGGGGAAGACAGAAGTCAACTCCCGCAACATGCACCTTAAGCTAAAATTTCCCAGCAAATGCCTCCCACTCCATCCAGGAGATAAATTCCAAGTATCGAAGCTCTTGCAGGGGGAAGAAGGGGGCTTATTTGCCAAGGCTGGGTTATCAGGAAAGCCTCGGGGACACAGATAAGAAACGAAGGCTGTTAGGAGCAGGAGCACCCGGCGCTCGCAGGAGAGCTCAGCATCAAGCACACGGCTGCAGGAGCCATCCCAGCAGCCGGCACGCGGGACGTGCTCCGGCCAGCAGCAGACAGATGCTTCTGTATGCAGACCCTCGTGCATTAATAGACAACAAATAACGCTTCTGAGTGCATTGACAGCTCCTTTGGAAAGTCCACAGAGCTGGATTACATCGCTTTAGGGTCCTTCTGAAGGCACTAAGTCCCAGTGTTTAAGCGCTTTGTTGGGCTGCCCAAACCGCAAATAACCCCCCCGGCTTCGCGGGCTGCCCGGGTGCTGCCAGTGCCGGGCAGGCGTACGTGCTGCCCTGCCCCAGGGTCTGCAAGTACAAAAAAGCAACAACCCCCTATTATTATTGCTGGACAGAAGGACCACATTGCTGGGAAGCTTCCAAGCCCCTCAAATTTCTCTACTTGCTGGTGGTGGTGGAAAAGGAGGAGGGCTCTCGCTTTAAGTGAAAGAAAGACAGAAAAGTTACAGATATCTCAAAATCTTCAGCCCATTTTTCCTGGGCTCACAGATCTGTCGATATCAACGCCACAGAGGACGACTGTGCTAGCTCGGGCTGGCTCCGTGCACAGCGCAGACCCGCAGGCAATTCACGATTTTCCCTTTAAACTACAGCAGCCTTCTTTCTCAGCCCTGCAATTGTGGCTTTTGTGGGCCCCTAGAAAAATATTTCTAAATAGCTCTCATTTAGCCTTCAAATTTTCTGTTCGCATTTTTCTTCCGTTTGTTTCTTAGCAACAAGCTCAGTTCCCAGGCTCTCTCATTTCTCTCCTGATACTTGTCTTCATGCTGAACACTTTCTGAAACCACTGCTTCAATTAGGAGTTATAATTTTCTGGTTAAACCCCTCAACCTGCGGTTAAGCTGATCCATGGAAATACAAAAATAAATAACGGCTACACAGGGTGTCCACAGACCACGGCATTTTATACATGGGGATTTTTCGGTCTCTCCCTCTCTTTTTAATAAAAATGTTGAAAAATTTGTGATGCCCCCCCGCCATCCCCTGGGAGGGTCCTGCAGCTTCGCCCCAGCGCCGGGTCCCGCTGCCGGGGAGCAGATGCTCGCTGGCCCGCACACGCATGCACGGTGCATCCAGACCCCGGCTTGCCCCTAACACCCTGCTTCAGCAGGCAAGAATTATCTTTAAAGCTTCTGCCAAAACAAAGGGGCAGGCTTGTGGTGCTGGAAAATACATTGAAAGGTTGAAAACCTCTTGCTTCTGCCCTCCTTGCAATCAAACATGGAGCATCCTTCAGAGAGGATGGGGCAGAGCCAAACAGCTCGGCGCTCCTTCCTCACTCTGAGACCTCCCCGTGCCAGGAAATTCCCACCCGTGTGAGCTGCTGTTACAACGTGAGCCCACAGAAACACATCCATGAGTTTTCCCTGTAAGCAGGAGCACGGCCATCACTCTTGGGCAGGCTGAGGATGGCTGGGGGCACTTTGTCCCCAGCTCCCGGCAGCTTTGCGAGGCACCGGGACCTCCCCGACGCTCCTTCTCACCTCGGACCAGTTCCCCACGGCCCACGGGGAGGGACAGGGAACCTCCCGGTGACAGGGTGCGGTGGCATCTGGCTTGGAGAGGTGCTGGCAGTCTGCTTGCTGCAAGGCCCTCTGCTCGTCCAGCCCCACGCTCTGGATGCAGAGCACCGTCCTCTTCATCAGCCCCGACTGGCCGCAGGAGGCCGAGCATTTCTGCCATTCGCCGACCCACCACCTGCGGAAATGCGGAAGGGAAAACGTCGCAGCCGGAGCGAGCGGCCGCCAGCCGGGCTCCGTCCCATGCCCCACCAAGCTGAGCGCTGCGGGGCGGTGGGTTTTAGCCACCGCCAGCCAAGAGGCGTTCGGGGCCAGGAGACATGCGCCAGATGCACGCAGGCTTCAGCAGCCTGTAAGGATCAGCAGGGCCCAGGGTCGGGGGGAATTAGGATCCCAAGCGCGGCTCGTGTTCCAGCCCCAGGCCAGGGCGGCCGGCTCGAGGCTCAGGGATGGACTGGTCCCCGTGTCGTGCCAGGGATGGTCATTTGCGCAGAGGCAGAGAGGGGCTCCCGGCCCTGCCAGGGTGGTACCTCCCCGTGCGGCTCGTGCTCTGCGGACAAGCAATGCACGGCGGCGGCCGGGCAACCACAGGGATTTGGTCCCATGGACCAGTGCAGGGTCTGGGACCCGTTCTTGAGCGTGAAGGAGAGGAGCGGTGCAAAACCAGGGGCGCAAATAGCTGCACGTGTCCTGGGGGCAATCCGGCCCAGAAGTCCCCTTGACTCTGGTCACCCCCTTAGGGCAGTTTGGAGACCAAAGCTTTGCCAAGGAGCGAGGGGAAATCCAGCGGACCTGGCCGGGCAGGGCTCCTCGCTGCATGTCCTCTGCTGGTCGTCGGGGCGGGTGAGCGCATCGCAGTACCGCTCCTCCACAATGCCGGCCAGCTTCTCCACGCAGTGCACGATCTGCCGCTGCACCCCTGCGGACACACGCCAGGGCTTGGCTCGAGACGAAAATCGAACCGAGCCACCGAGCACCCTCTGCCAGCAGGCGAGGAGGGGCCCTAAGGTAAGCTTGAGCCACCAAAAACAGGGGAAAGAAAAAGAAACCACTGCTGAAACTGGAAGTGGAGAACCCAATTCTGCTGAGGCACTGATGCCCTCATGGAGCCCAACGGCACCGGTGCTCCCAGTGTACCCAGGTGCGACAAGCACAGCTGGACACCTGGTCTCAATCCGACGCGTGTGTGACGAGACCTACGGAGCTTAACTGGGCTGGAAAATGACCCTGGATACGCAGCTGCAAAGCAGGGACACCCGGGACTGGATGGATGGATCGATCACAGAATCATACACTTGTTTCGGCTGGAAAAGCCCTTTAAGATCATCCAGTCCAACCATTAACCTACACTACCAAGCCCACCACTAAACCAGTTAAGGGGAGAGTAATAAGTTCATGTTCCTGGCTTGCTGGCTGGATTATTTATAATGAAAGTAAAAGCTAGGAATCACTAAGGTTGGAAAGGCCCTCTAAGATCATCAGCCCAACCATCAACCCAACACCCTCATGCCCACTAAACCATGTCCCCAAGTGCCACCTCTGCCCGTTTTTTGAACCCCTCCAGGGATGGGGACTCCCCCACCTCTCTGGGCAGCCTGTTCCAATGCTTGACTACCCTTTCCGTGAAGAAATTTTTCCTAATATCCAATCTAAATCCAATCTATGGATGGAAGCAACACCGGTCCAGCCAGGACACAGGCTCCTGGGCATTACACGCAGCAGACCGCAGCCACAGCCCCTCCCTGGGGCTGGCAGGACACAGTGTCTGTCTGTCCAGCACAAGGGAAACCTCAGCTCCTGCCCTATGACCAAGTCCAGGGCTGCTCATGTAGAAAGCTAAAAACAGATCACAGAAAGAGCTGGCAAATCTTGTTCTGCCTTAGAAAAAAACTGCTGCATTATACCGGTTCCTACAGGGCCTAGGGATGTCAGGAAATACCTAAGGAATGGCAAGAGTTCCCACAGAAGGCGAGGTGAGGACAGCCGTGTCCGGAACCGCCAGCAGACCCCAAACTCAGAGAGCCAGCCTGCTTCAACCTTGCAAACTCCGTGGGACGTCTCCGCTCGCCCTCCCGGTGCTTTGTGTCCGTACCAAGCAGTTCACGGGGACAAGACGGGCTAAGAGCAGGAACATCTCCACCCCTGAGCTGGCTCCCACTCTCAGATTTCTGCAACGACCCCAGCTTGGTCCTGATGGCCTCTGGCTGCGTCCTTTGGTCACGGGCAATGCAAGGGGCATCGCTGGGCAGACTGCTGAGCAGAAACCTCTGGAGTAAAACTTTTTGCTATCCTACAGCTTTTATCGTCGGCCATGAGGTGAAAGAGATGCAGAAACATGCCCTTCCACAAGCTGCCTGATAGGATTTAATAGCGATGCAGCCAGCGGAGGCTCCGCAGAAAGCACCCCGCTGCCGGAGGGACCTCTTGGCCAGGGGGAAAAGCCTTTCCCCACCTCTCCCCTTGCGAAAAGCCTCTGCAGCCGTGGTGCAGGACGCACCGTGTGTTTGGGGCTGCCAAAGCCCTGCAGAGGAGCACGCGCGGGGCAGGACGGCGAACCGTGCAGATGCTGCAGCCCGTGAGGGGAGCACTGTCCTGGCACCACCGACCAGAGCCGCATCCAGCATCGGAGCACGTGTACGCACGTATGCACGCACACACACCGAAGCTTTCGGGAAGGCTGGGCCCGAAGGGGAGCCAACTGACAGCAGCACAGCTCTTTTTTGGCAGCCTTCTGCTCCAGCCACAGCTCGTGGATAAATCACCCCCGAAGCCTCCTGCACCCGGTCTGCAGCGTGCACGGGACGACATTTTTCTGGATGACCTCACCCGCAACACGCTGCCTCGCTGCCTGCTTTTGTCCTCCTTTTTGCAACATGTACTTGACCCGTGACTTGGGAGAGCTGTAAATAATAACCACTGCCATCAGCTGAGATTGATACGACCCTGCTGAAGCTGCTGAGTTGCGCTCTGGCTCAAGTGCCCGGGAGCTTACGGGGCCAGCGGAGCTGGGGCCCTGGGGCTGGCCCCCGTGGAAGAGGCTCAGCCTGAACTCTCCCAAATCCATGTCTCGGCTCACACCATCCACCAGCCCAGGGAGAGGGGCTCAGCCCTCCTCCAGCCGCTCGCCTGCGGCCAGACAGGGTGAGCATCCTCACTCCACTCCTGCCCGATTTGCTCCTGTATTTCCCTTCTGTTCTGGAAGCCAAGCACTCAAACCTTGCAAAGGCGAGCTGATTTTAAACAAAAGCAAATGCCCTCAGCTCCCGTCCTCCTCGACTTCCCATGCTGCAGGGCCCGTGCAAACCCACAGCGAAGAGCTCTCAGCACAAATGTATGTAAAACACCCCACCAGCTCCTGCCGCACCACAGCCCTCCTGCTCCAAGCAGGAATCCACACCTATCTCCCAGAAACAGGCAGGAAACATCTCCTGGCACTCTGTGCAACCTAGAAAGTATGAGTGTCCTTGAATTGCTTTTTCCAGTGGCAGCCGCTCTCAAGGAAAT